ATCATCCATACCTCATCAATGAAGAGGGCAGGCGTGCACAGCGCAGCCAGAGAGACTGAGCGGACTTGTAGCGGTGTCGTGGGTAACAGATGCTCCTCCTGGAGGACTGCTGGCATACCTGTAATCTTTGAATTGCTTCTGGGATTCCTCCAAAGCTTGTGTGCTTGGCTGTGAAGTAGCAAACTGCCAAGTTTTTATGGATATGAGGAATCCCTGCAGTGTTTAAGCCCCCAACTCTCCATCCTAAACTGGGCTTTTGGGTTTTTATATATATATATATATATATATATATATATACTTCTATATGTATGTATATTTTTTTAAGCTTTTTTCTTATAAAAAAGTTGTGGAGCTTGATGAAGAGCTGCCCCAATAGCAGCAGTTCAAGTTTTAATAGTGAGATGTTTTGTGATTTATTGGCTTAATCTCTGTTAGAGCTGACATGACTTTTAATGGCCCTGTCCCTCTTAACAGTATTTTCCCAATGCGCTGTTTGTTTAAAAGCTAAGTGGGAGGAGAAGCATGCGTTGCTTTTCTCTTCTTGGCTGCTCTCTGTATATTCACACTGCTATTACTGAAGCTAGAGGATGGGCTTTTTGAAAACCATTTAAGAAAAGGACTGGCCTTTTAGTTTTCTGTAGGAGCATAGACCAATGGAAAGAACCAGAGAAGTGGATATTTCTGTAAATTTTCAAAGATGAGTAGAGGTGATTGGGTTTATTATGGGTGTAAGGATATGAATCTCCCAAAGGTGGTGGAGATTTTTATAAAAGTAGTTGAAAAATAATGTAAAGTAAACATGCCTTCTCTTTGCTCACTCATTAAGCAAACAATTTTCTATCTCTTCGGAGAACTTTGTAACTTCTAGGATTCCTATATACTCAGTAAAACCACATATATAAAGTCAGCACAGCAACAAGTAACCTAAAACCATCTTTGAATCCAAATAATCACAAACAATAGGCTTATTTCAGATTACAATTTTATAATTTAGTTATGAAAAAAAAATGGGAAGAAACTAAGGAACTGTAAGGCTAAAGAATTTTCCTGTGGTACCGTTTTGATGTAGGTAACACTCGCGTATTGTAAATGGAAAAAACAAGGCACAGAAACTCAGGTACCAGGATGCTGCCTGTAAAATCCTCAGCTGGTAGCCAAGTCCCTGTTTGGAGGGAGCCTTGAGCCCATTTCTTAATCATCAGTGTTGCTTAAGCCAGCACTGGTTGGACTCCTTGGTTGTAAGAACTTAATCAAGACTTGCACTTTGATTCAGATTTTCAAAATAGTGTTTTTCTACTTTTGCCTTTTCACAGCTTTCAAGTAGCACATTTCCTCTGTGTGTCATTATAAAGCCCACAAGGAGAGAGTAACTGTACTTAAAAAAATTTTTAAATAGTTTCCAGTAGGTTTTCACCTATACTTTTGTGGGTGATGGTCCCAGTAAAGCTTATTCTAAGATCAGATAGTTTTTAGTACTTGCTTGCTTTGCTGTACTTTTGGAAGGACTTTCCCCGAGTGATCTTTTCTTGGATGACCTCTCCATTCTGTCATTAAAACTTGGAAACTTTGGTCTTCTTGACAGTTAGTTCTGCATTCTCATTATGTTCGTTCTTATTGTAAACATGCTAAAGTTGCTGCTGTTATTGCTTAGAATGGATTTTTCCTCAGTTGTTTTGAAGTTTAGTAGAAATAGAAGTTAATCTTTAAGAGAGTTAGGCTGGTAACGATTGGACGGCTGAGCTTGATGGGTCACGCTGTGTCTGTCTTTTCATTTGCCTAGTAGATGATGTTCTGCTGACTCCAGCTGTTTTTTTGGAAAGCAGAAAAACAATTTGCTTTTCCTTCCCATAAAGTATAACCCTTTGTTTATCCTTGTACTGCTGCAAGTTTCCAAAATGCAGAGACTTGCAAAGAAAAGAAAGGGAGGAAATAGCTCTTTTTTCACGCTGTTATTCGTATCGGAGAGTAGAGTTTAGTACTGAGATGAATTGTTGACCTCTGTGGAGGTTATTATTAGAATTGGCTGATTTGTGTGTGGAGCGGTGTCGGATTGACCCAGTCCAGTTCATGGAGTGAACTACCTACAGTGGGTTTGGTGAACACAGTTGCAGTTTTTCTAAGTAACTTTTTAATTATTTAATTAATTTTTGATTTGAAGAAGCTTTTTGCAGTTCTTCGTTTTCTTCAGTGAACTGAAATAATTGAGAACAGCTCCCTTTTCCAAGCAAGATGTTTCTTTTTCTCATGAGTTGTTGAATTCTTGAGTATTGTCCTTACAGTGCATCTCTTGGCTGATACTCCTTTTGTTTTCTGCTGGAAGGATGTTGTGAGGTGCTGCAGAGTTTGGGAAATGCAAGTGACTGATTCTAAAGTCACTATAGAGATTTATATGATAAGGGCTATCATCTGACAGCCCTTATCATATGATCATATGACAGCCCATATCATACATCATATTAATGCTATATTTCATACATAAAAGGGAAGAAAAATAAATCAGGTTTGGGAGACCTGAATGTCTTTACTGACCCAAATAAGAATTGCCAAAGCAGAAGTCAGCGTTAAAACCTTACTGGTCCTGATCTATAATGTCATCGGAAGAACACGTTTGTATTTACAACCTGGGGTTGTATTTACAACCTTTTTTTTTTGCTTGCTTTGTTCCTTAAGAGGCTCTGGCTACCCACATTTTATGCACTTCTGGAATGCAATAACAATTGTGGCATCATCTCTTCAGAATTCGTTTTCCTTCCTGAGATCAAGGCAGTGATAAGGCCTTACAAAATATTCACTTGGTTTTGCTTTCCTGGCCTGAGATGGATTTAATTGGATGAATTGCTGCTTTTCTCCTTCCATTGCTTTATGACCTTTGAAATAGCTTGCTGTGATCTTTTGAATTTTGCAATACCCTCACTGCTGTGCTCTAAAAAAATGAAATAGAGCTGTTTATCTTAGACAGCGTGAACAGTGTAGCAGCTGTTTCTGCACGTGCCCAACAAAATGCCATCAGATGTGTCTTTAAATGTTGTCAAATGTCTGTTTAAACTCACACCTATGTGCTACACCCTCGCACGCACCTTTTTCACCATTTTGCAAGTCTTGGAAATAATGCAATTAAATTTTTTTAAGGTCTGTTATCCTCACTAAAAGTTCCGGACTACTTTGGGGCCTTTTCAAAAAGATATTTGCAAAAAGGTGGTGACAAATAGGTTTGCTTTTTCTCGCTGTGGTTGGCAGATCAGTAGCAAGAGTCTGACACAAGAGACGTTGGGGAAATAGAAGCTTAGCTAGCTGTGTCATTTTTTGTGGGTTGGTTTTTGTTTGTTTGGTTTTTTCTTAATATGTTGCTTCTCACAATGCAGTGTAGGATTTTATGCAGTAAATAGCAGTTGGTTAGATGTGTTTCTCTGAAATACCGTTTGCCTCATCTCAGTGCTCCGTCTGCCCGTGATACAGGATCAGCAAACCAGGGCTCCTTTAAATGAGACACACATGTCTATAAGTTTTGAAATGTTTGTTTCTTGGCCAACCAGTGAGAGAATATGAATAACTAAACTGTCTATATTAGCCTAAGAACTGATGAAAACGGAGATTAACCATTTGCTTGATAGTCCCTTCCTTCCCTCCATTCTCTCTCCTCTTATGCAATATTTCTTTTTTTTATATATACATATGTTTTAGCGTACCAGAACGGGTTTTGGTCTAGTAGATAATGTTAGGCATGTGGCTGACTGTCTTAGTTTACTGGCTTCAATCTGAACACTCAAACCTTGTTATCAGGGCTCTAAGCAGTCAACAGTTCTGTGGCTTCATCCGTGTGACTTCAGTATCTGAACTTTCAGACTCTTACCTTGACAGAGGATCCCACTGGGATCAGCCTCCTGGCACCAGGCAGCAGGGACGGTTACGGTGGCAGAGTGAGGATACTGAGGTTCAGGCACGTCAGTAGGATTGGAGTGCTAAATACAGGCAAGGGTTACACGTTGGTGTGGAAAGAGCAGCCGTCCACCCGAAAGGGCTTAATTTAAAATGACAAAAAAGCAAGGAGGGGAACACAGGACGTGGAAATAGGACAATAATAGCAATTAGGAGGAGAGCCATCATGCTACTTTTAATTGCAGCTTGCTTAAGCTTTTCATTTATGCTTAAGCATTATTTAATTGTTTTCAAAAATCTAAAATTCTGGTTTTTAAATTTTAATAGTTAATGGTGTGGTATTCTTGGTGATTGGGGGGTGTGTGATTCTTGTTTTGTTTTGTTTTCTGTTGTTTTGTTTTTTAACTCAGACTTTATATATTAAATGGCATTTAACATGGGCCTGATTAATTTTAAGCCTTGCCATGTTTTCATTCACAGCTAATTTCAGTGGCTTTCTATTATAGGTATTTTCACCTTTTAATCCTCAGGAATAGTTATTTTATGTTCATATCTGTGCATGTATCTATATCTGTTTTTAACAGTAATACAAAGGTAATGAAAAGCAGGTGAACAATGGAAACTGCCACTGATTACAAATTCTCTCACTGTGTAAAGTTAAGTGTGTGCAAAAGTATTTTGAGAGGCTAATGGCTCATATCTAGAATTATTAAAACCAAAAAGGAAATCACAATACACCCTTTCATGCCACAAAAATCTAGAAGAGCTTGAAGCAAACTGAAACTATTGACCAAAAGAAAGATGTCAATCAACTAAAATTAATTAAAAATGTGAAGATACAGAACAATCCAGTCAAACTTAAATATTGCTCTCACCCCACAGTATCAAAATGGCATTAAAAAAATGCAAACATAAGGAAAACCGAGTATTTACACATCATTAACTGTTCAAAATAGCACATCTAACCGCAGTCTTATCTTTAGGAAAAAAACCCAAGCGTTTACTGAGTGATATTAGCAATTGAAAGGTTTTTGTTTAGACTTTTTGTTTTCTTGGCAATAAATAAAATTCTTTGTAAGAAGTCATTAAGCTATTTCTGAATGTTGCCTTTTAAAACTTTTCAGGCTGCTATCCTTGTCCAGGGCCAAACATGAATCCTATTGCTCTCGGAAGTCGTTGGCTTGCTTATGCAGAAAATAAGGTAAGGAAAGGTTTAATTTCAAAAAATACTTCTCTCTTTGTTTCTAGATTTCATTCTAGCTTTTGTATATATAGGGGGGAAAAAAGAAAAGTCTCAGGAAAAAGCTCTGTGAAAAAGATGATCTGTAGAGGACCTGTATAATGATGACAGACCTAATCTTTGACCTGCACTGCTTGTGCTTTGGTATTCACATGGCCTATCTTTACTCTGCACATTTGATTTAAGCTCATGAATTTGGGGACATAAGTAAGTAGCATAGGCAGAGAAGACAGCTATCAACATGTGTTTTCAGTGAGGTTGCTCAATAACTAACCCATTTTGCATTTAAGAAGTTTAAAGCACTTATAGACACCTCTGAAAGGCTGGCAAGCGAGGATTCCTAAATTCTGTTTGGGGAAACTGAGTCAGGACAGAGCCAATGAGTTTGTATGAAACTGCACTTTGTAAATTAGGAGGTAGCATTAAAATGACCGCTTCTTAATATTGCTGAAATAGTTAGGTTCCAGGGGGGAAAAAAAAATAAAAAAAATTGTTGAATTAATTTTTCTTCTTTCCAGAGGCAAAAGAAGAAAACAGATGCCAAGCAAAACAATTATCACTGTTCTTACCCAGCCCTAGGCCAGAGAAGTGGTTGTGTATTTAAAGCCTGAAATGTTTGAAAACTTTAAATTCAGCTTCTAATGCCTTATTTTTATTTCAAGGCAGATGTTTTTTCTCCCTTCCACCTATGACTGGAATAGCTGTTTCTAGAGCTGAACCAGAAATTATCAGAGAGGCAATCTTTAGCAATGTTATTTGTTACACCTTTTCAAGCACAATTGATTTCTTTCCAAATTCAGGCCTGCCTTTCCTCTAATGCCACGCCTATGTGGTTTTGTAAAACTTAACCAGTCAGCTTGGAGTTTAAAAAGTCCTGCTGCCAAAAATATCAGCCGCTGATCAGCAGAAGAATTATGTCACAAAAGGAATTTAATTGGCTTGCGTGTTCCCAGGTATATTCACTGTGGACTTTCCCTTTCTCCCTAGTTTAACTATTTAGATACTAAAATATAAACAGGAATGGAAAGCCTGTAGAAACAAATACATCTTACAGTGATTTTTACTTTTCTTTTAGCTAAACAGGCAGCATGTTCTGTGTACAAGCAACAAATTTCTGTAGTTTTTTGCCATTTTATTTAGTCAGAAGCACAGATTCTATTGTTAGGGTTCAAAGGCAAAAACTGCTTTTGTAAGTTGCTGGCAGGTAGAAGAGTCTTGTTTTGATTTATTAATTTTGAAGGGAGGCAATATAGAGTAAACCCCATGTACATTCCTTTAATCTATTAAATGTAAAGTTTAAAGTAGCTCTTTTCCTTTGTCATTTCTTTGCTTGCTAGTCATAAAAAGCCACACTCAGATTCTTAGAATGTCTGATATTTAATGTTACATATACATGGCTAAAGCTTTTGATTATATTTATTTAAATTTATTTGTGGTATTGCTGCCAGACCAAAAATCCCACCATTTCAAAGTTTATGAATTCTTAGTGACTACTCATCTTGTAATTGAAAACTGGAGTTGAGTACGCGACAGTCTGGGTGGCACCCAGAAGATTATAAAAAGGGGTTAAGTGTCTCAGCAGGGCTTTTTGCTATTTGTAGGAAAAAACACACCACTGTACATGATAAATAAGCGCTATGGTAATGGTTTATGGGTTTGTGTAGTTTAATAGTAGTTACTTGGTTGCTGTCTTTCTTCTTGTAGCTGATCCGATGCCATCAATCCCGTGGTGGAGCCTGTGGAGACAACATTCAGTCTTACACTGCCACAGTCATTAGTGCTGCCAAAGTGAGTACATCATCTGCTGCTGGGAGAGGTTATCATGTAAGATAATTATTAGGTTTCCCTGCTGAATTGTACTGTGTGTCATCGCCCCCCCCCCCCC